TTGCGGAGGGGCAAGAGGAAAAGAGGAACGACGGGAGGAGAGGGGGTGAATGCTAAATAGACGTTAGCTACGTTCCTTTCTGTCTCCTACACTTCCGCTCCTCTCTCTCTTTCTCTTCTCTTCTCTAAAGACACCATTGTTCCCATCTTTCTTTTCCTCTCGTTCGCCTCCGTCTGTCCGTCTTCCTTTTTCTCTCTCTGCTCTCGCGTGTATATACACGTAGGGTTACGCACGCGTACACTCTCATTCTTGTAAATTGTCCCCACCCGATTTCCAGTGTCCCCCCACCACCGACAGGCCGGAACCTCGCGTACTCTCTTGAAATAAGCTTGCCCCCTACCCCCGGGAACGTATAAACATACGACGCTCGACGGAAACAACCGAGAGGAACCGAGGAATTCTCTACATTGTCGCTCGCGGACGAACACTGTCGCGCGATCGCGCGCGCACGCTGCGTCAGCCGGTCGCTCGTATCCCTTTCTGATCGCGTGTTCCCTTTTTTTCCCCCTTTTGCTTTTGGTATTTTCTTTTTCTTTTTATTTCTTACGTGTGCAAGTACACAGGTCTAGAGCGTCGATTGTATGATCATGAAAAAAAGGAGAGGAGGCTTGAAAGCGTGGGGGTGGGTCGAGATGGTATCGAGACAAGATCTCCCTCGATACGACAGATTTCGACTTGGTTGCCCCACGGAATTTTTGAGTCTCATCGGAATAGTCGATTTCGGAAATCTGTTTGGCTCTTTCGACGCGTTAATTGCTGAATCAGCACTCGCCGCAGACAATTGGAACTGATTTCTTGATGAAAGAGTACTTGAAAAGCCGGGACTATTTCTTAGCGGTGTTTTCTTAACTACTTTGGGTTAATGAGTCTTTAACTTAAGAGTACGGGGAACTGTTGGAAAATGTAACATTCGCGTAAGAAGTACGCACTATTATAGAACACAAATAATTACGGAATCAACGTAATAAACTGCTTCAGAAATGAAAAACAATAACTAAGTTTATCTTGCGTGCTATCTTTTTGTTGTAAGGTACAGGATTGTAATTTTATTTATTGTATAAAGTGTAACGTTATAATTAACGTAATATCTGTAAAAGACAATGCGTTGATTATTTGCATCGTTTCGGTAATTACAATAATAATTTCACTTTGATGGAAGTATCAGAATGGGAGGAATTAAAGGAAACAATGGAGAAGGGAGGATCCTAACGAGTTCGAAAATCAATCTCAGGCAACTGAGGCTTTGAAACGTCTTCCGCGAAGGGGAAAAGGGGATGACACGGGGAAAAAGGAAGAGAAAGGTCAGGATACCACGTAGCTCGTTCAAAGCGACAAACGAAGGTAAAGATGACTGGATAGATTCTTTAAGCGTTGCTCCAATCAGATCCCATGTCACTCGGTTCATTAATCCATTCAGGGTGTACTCTGAAGTGTCCCACGTTGTATCACAGAGTTACACTCGTCCGAATGTAACGACGTGAATATGTAATGGCGTGCGGAATACGAAGAATCCGGAGCGTGACAAGATTCAATCAAATTATAATTGTACCCTAGCGATGTACCTTTTACAGCAGTTTATGCTGAATCAAAGTTTGCATCTATAAATATACGGTTGTTACGGTTGTAGCTGTATTAACATATCGCCAACCGAACACGTTATCTAGCATGTACGATGATTCACAGGTTTCGTCCAATTGTTTTCGAATGTTACACTTAAATGGCCGCATCATTATTTTCTGATTGCTTTTCTTCGAGGCCAATGATTTTCTCGTTTCAAAATGTAAAAGTGAAATACAGAATAAGAAATTCTTATATCCGCTAAACTCATCGATAATTATCATTAAGAACATACTTTGAAAAAATGTTCTCAAACTTTTAGTAGACAAAATAATAAACTGATAATCTTTTATGATAGATCGTTACTGTAACAATATCTACGCCCACGGTATCAAGCTTCGCCCTGTTAAAAAAATATATTTCCAAAGTTTTCGGTAATCATTGTGTGCTGGCGATGAGATTGTAACTACCCGCATCGGTTCGCGCGACCGATACCAAAGAGTAATCCAGCAGAGAACAGCGCGGTTGAAACGAAGATTTGCAAACAATAGGCCCGAAGCGAGCTGGATTCTTTAGATGGCGGCTTGATACGCATCGAATTTACATATTATTGCTATTATTAGGTAAACGGTCCTTCGAGCGCCTCTTTAACACTACGTGCTCGCCCTTCCAGGTATTTTACGAGCAACCGCGAGAGGTCCCCGCTAAGAAAAGCAGAGTCTATAGCTAACACAACCACTGTCTTCTGGATCGACAGAAACTGAATTAAATAAATAACAAGATAACCATCGGTATCATTGAATCGAAAGCAACAGAGGTGTTGGTTGAAAAGTTCGCACCAATTTTACAAACAATCTTCATATATTTCATCGTTCGATCTTGCCATTCCTACTAAGTTCAACATTCCCCAGTGTTTTACGAAACATTTCTTATTGAGCAATTTCAATCTCCAAACTTGCCACATCGTTCGCAAACAATTCTTTCTAACAATTTATTCGTAAACTTCAGCGTTGCCCTTGGCGTCTCGTATGCGAAAACTTCAATGAACGTATCAAAAAACGGAAAAAATTATAAAAAAAATCAACCAACCGAAGTTTCGATTCGCCAGGTGAAACTACACCTTCGATTTCCAACTTCCGCGAATCCTATAAATCCGCGACCACCGACAGAACATCCAAAATCAGGGTACACCGGTGTTGCTAAC